CGTCTGAAAGGTCAACGGGTAGATACCAGACAAGGCTCAGTCTCACAAGCCAGCTGCTTGGGCACCTCCTGGCTTTGTTCGACTATTCACGCTCGCCCTTGGAGAGGTCACTCCAAGACAAATAAACACGAAGAGGAGCAGTCCACTGTAGTGATCGTAGTAGTAGTAGTCATACGTACGGAACTCGGAACACAAACCATGCAATAGAAATCACAGGACATGAATTAAGGGTCAGCTATCACGGAAACACTTGACCGCAATGTCCCACGTAACTGAGACGCGAGGAAAAGGCCACAAGAATGGTAGTTTGTTTATTGAAAGAAATGAGGGCGATTAAATAATATGTACAAAAGAAGACCATTGGGCATCTAGGCTTCCACCAAGCATATTGCTTGCATAATTCTGCTTCTGTCTACACTGTCTCCGATTGGCTGACACGATCCACCTATGGCGTGTAGTCAGAAGCCGTGACGCGTATGAGCGTCATTGACGTCACCTTTCAAATTTGATTGATCGCAGGTGTCCAGAAACTGTAACTCGCCGCCCCAGGGTAGGCGTCATCACGTAGGCCTTGATCACCACATCTACTGGTAAAAAAGCCCCGCTGGATGGATGCGGGAGGGAGATAACTGAAGAGCAACCTCCCGACGATGGTAGGACTGTTTGCAGTTCGTTAGACAGCTGCCGTTCACCCAGGCTGAGCAGCACCTAGCCAATAGGGTTCTGTCTCGTCCATGCTGCACCTGCCCCATTGATCAGTTGATTCTATAGGCTGAATCCGAACAGCGAATCATTAACCAATGCACCAGCGAACCATATACTGAATGGAAACGCGAATACCGTACGCGACAGATCTCTGAAAGCTCCAGGTCAGGTGTTTTGGTCATGTCCCCACGATGGACCTACATTTCAATGCATTGTTGGTTATATTTTTGAGGCTGTGGTTAGGGTTCTTAATGGAAAACCCCTTCATTAGTGTGGGCTACAGCGAAGTATAAAGTTTCAGGAACCCATTTGAAAAAAACTTTTATCTTATATGGAAAGTTCTCCTCCTCACTCCTGAATCATACGAGGTTACTCCTGTTTTGCCCACCTCTGGGATGTTACTCGGCGCTCATTCAGTAAGGTAAACCAATCAAGAGCGACAGGATAGCTGAGGTCAAAATCTTTCACGCAGTCTTATTCCATCAAATTGGTGAACAAGCTGCCCTAACTGAAACCCTTGAAAATCAATTTATGCGTATGTTGTCTGCGAAACATATAACACCGATATTCAATCATCATCCGGTCATGAAGTTCATGCATTTGGCCTACTATTAAGCTAGTATGTGTTGGAGTGATCCGATAATCGATTTGAATTTCACTGACAACAAATGTGATCACGCTGAAATGATAATGGACGGACTGATCAGCTAGCTTGGAAAGTTACTGACGAATAAAAAATCTACGCGCTCATTGCAAATTTGGAATCATATGGGTTAACCCTAGAGCGTGTGTATGTATGTGCACTCTGGAGCTTTGTGATGTATTAGAACTGAAATCTAACACAAAATCCCATCCTGCTCAAGTTCCTATAGACTATGAGAATGTTCACGCACACGCCCGTGTGCTCACTCATACACAGGCCTTGCTGGTGCGGCGGATATAGACGGACAGACACGCAAACATTATAAATTCACCATGGGTTCTAACTATTCCATTGAAGATTAGGCTCGGTTGAGAGACTGATTTAAATATACATGTCGCCATACGTTTTGTTTCAACGATCTGCCTCGACCATTGGTCCGTTACAACAGGGTGGTGATCAGTCCCTGCAGTCTTCCCCGGTACCAACGGATGCATACATACGTTCAGATGCATTCGGTATTCATTTACATCTTTCGACTCTGACAAACTGCTTTCACCTCCAGCCGCCGGCCCTCCGCCCCGTCGACGGTGATTAGTTAGGTACCATGAGCAATTATTGATCAACTGGTTGGTGTGCATTAGGACCAATGGCGTGCCTAGCCGACCCACATTACCATGATCGTTTTGTGCTACTCCGTGCATGGTTCGCTCATCATATTTAGTTTCAAGACTATGTAAAATATGGCGTTTCGACAGTGGACCCGCCTATTTTTTCCCGGACACCAGCGACCGTTAGTGGATCCAGTTCATCGGTCATGTTATTCACATTTCCAAAAGTTAGCGGACAACTGTAATCGGATACATAAATATCTGCGAATATCTTTAACCGAAAAATGCAACCTGAATTGTGAGTGACGCAAGTTTGACGTTTTTTCTAACCCCAGGCTTGTATTGCAAACCCAGGGTCGAACAAAAGCATTTTGAAGCTAACAAAACCAGTTGGACGGTTGATGAGCTCCAATTCCTGGCTGCATATTTTGTTTCTCGCGGAGTGACCAAGATTCGTCTGACCGGTGGAGAACCTTTACTTTGTGGGGATTTAGAGGATTTGATCGGTTTGTCATTTTGCACTTATGTGGAGAGAGAGTGTGGTAATGTGTTGCGCATCGGTTTCTAGGTTCACTTCACGCTTTGCGCAGCTTGAATAGCCCAGTGGGTGGATTGCGTCATATCTCAATGACCACAAACGGAGTGACATTCAGTCGAAAAGCGGCCGATTTGAAAGCGGCTGGTTTGAACTCAGTCAATATCAGTTTGGACAGTCTGAGAGCGGATCGTGTTCGACGACTCACTGGATTCCCGGTGTTGAAACACACCATTTCGGCCATTTATGCTGCTCTTGAACACGAGTACAATCCTGTAAAGGTATTCCTCAATTCCCTGTTATTACTTATTGAATCATGATTTCATATTGTATTTGATGGTTACAATATCGATTTTTGCAATCAATTCCAATTTGAACAGGGGAAATACATTGACATGTAGGGAAGACGATAATGAATCAATGAGCACTTAGGACATTTCCTTCCTTGCATGACTTTCAAGAAGTGTAAAAAACTATGCAACCGTACTTTATCGACTAGTCTGCCTTGAATAGTAATCGAAACTTCATTCACAGAAACTCGGAATCTAGAGGCCAAATAGATTTATGTAGTAGGGTGTGATATTGATCCTTGTAGTGATGTTTGGAGATGGTTCTCTTCGGTGCAATAAACAATTGTGAACATTGAGATAAGGTCTGTTAGAACCGTGTGATATGGTTTAACTCTAGGCTGATCCAAAATGTCGGTTACTCTGAAACTTTCCCCTAGCATACATGAATACAATAGTGAACGTTTTCTAGCAAGTGGTTTCTCGAGTAAGTTCATACATCGGCACAGTCTATCACACAGGTGAACGAATTGTGCAGGTCTTTTAACCCAGTAAACTGAATTTCTAGGATTCATCAATGAGCTAGACTCACAACAGGAGTTGAATCTTTCTCGTTATTTGTTACTCCAACTCACGAACACTGTCCGTTCGTGTGTCATACTCTCTCTCTCCGAATTAATTTGTTCCCATTATGTGGAACGTGATTCATTTGGCACAAATACTTTTGGACCATAATTGCCCCATATAACCTCGATCACAGATTATGTGGATTTTATATTGTCGTTATTTTTCTGTTTTCCCAGAAATTCAATGTACTTCTGTGAGAGGACACGTGATCAGCCTATCAATATTATGCGGCATTAAGGTTGCATGTTATTTTTCAGTCCGCATTTGTTTCACCGCCAGGCAGGTTTATATCAATAGGCTTTTCCCTTGGAAATAATTGTTCTAAGGAGATGTAATAGCCATCCTTGTACATAACACCGATTGATTCACCTCAATATCTTGTGCGCAGTCACTTGATCATGAAGTTATTGGCCCTTGGAATTGAACGGTTTGAATAGTGTTATGCGAAATTTGATGAAGGTACATCTACGTAACTGGCGTTTTGAATCTGTGTATTAGGAATCCTTTGGGCCACTTTCTTCTACGTACGAATGAACCAGCAGCGTCCATGAAATCACGAAGAATCATGGGAATGTGATACAAACCGGTATCCTCCAAAACGATCAACTTTTTTCTTCAATAATTCACTTCTAGCCCTGGCATAGTCAAGTGTTATCTGTAAGGTACCAGGGTGGTAGCGATAAATTTTTTTGTAAGCGGACCGGATTTCCACGCGTCACGATGCTTTCAACAGACATGTGTGGCTTTTTGTGCAGAGATCGCTCCCCAGGCATTGACCTACCGTGTTTCCGGGCGTCGCCGGAGATAATTCGCACTAAAGTGATGCCCATCTACTTATACTTAACTAAGTGACCACTTTCTTGTTGGCGCCCCGAAGACGCATCCAGTAGTGCGCTTTTCAGCTGACCACAGTACTTAAGTAGTCTACCTCTTCAATATCTTCAGGGAATGGAATGAGTTTATTTAGTTGAATGCATACATTGTCTCGGCTCTGCTCTAAGATGAGGTTGAGGCCAAGATCCTGAAATGTTATTTGCTACACCAAAGCTGATTAAAATATCTTGATTTTGTGCAAGCTGATAGATAGAGTCGGTAAGATACTCTCTGTCGCTATCCATTGTAGCGCAGTCAATGACATTTCCCGTTACAAATTATGATCTGGAGTAAAAGACAGGGAAAAATGCTAAATACACCCGTGAGATGAAAATAGCTCAGAGTAAAACGGCCTTGAATCACACTTTGTGGATGTTGACTAAATATGGGCTTGATAGTTCGACCAAGTAGGCTTTCAAATTACATTGTTACGATTTACGAAATGAAGCAAATAGTCCTGATTTAAGCTCTGGGTGTGACAGCACAGATTGCGCAGCGTTGCTTCATCGATGAAGTGATTTGTCCTTACTGTTCTCAAGAGAATCCGTTCTATTTTTGCTTTTGTTCCGTGCCGTACCGTCCTTCTAAAAACGGTGAATGCGTCGTCTTGGTCGCCACATTTCCGTTGAGTGTGCTTGCGATCTGCCGAATCTTCACATTCTTAAGCATTGGCGAAATCGACTGCCGTCAGCTATACATAAGATCCGTCGGACGTCTTTATGCGATCTTGAAATTGAACAAAATCATTTCTAGCTCTGACCAATGGTATATCAAAAACACGTATTGCTAACGCTGAGGTGCGGCCTCCCAACTCACGGGAGTGACCTTAGCTGCTCACATGATTGAATCACATGGATCGAATAACACTCACCTTATCTCACAACACTGAAATGAGTTTTAGCAAATTCTCTGACAAAACATGACTGTACATTCAGTTAGATTAATTTAGTTTTTTTTTGTTTTAACAGCAAAGGAAATCGATACCTCATCGGTGAAACCTACATGGTTTATCCAAACCCTAACTGCTATGTTATGTGGTTTCATTTATCTAACAGGTAAATTGTGTGCTGATTCGCGGGTTTAATGACGATGAACTGACGGACTTTGTCAAAATGACAGAAAAGTTGGTAAGTCAATATTTTTTACTAATATGTACAGATTTGAACTGCATCACATCATAAAATTCGGTTGATGTATTGCTTTTTTCGGCAGGTGATAAAATTTGCTCAATGCAGTGTGTATTCCTTAAATCCATTAAATTTCTATTTATTTTACTTTTCTGTGATGAATCCTACTAGAAGACAGGACGGAACTTAGTGATCCATCGAGGTTCCCGGCACTAGGAGCAGTGTCCCCAGCACCATTCGATCTTCTTGTTCCGCATTGCCTCTCTAGTGCTTGCTCAACCAATAGCAACCAGGAAGACATCAAGCGTGTTGGAGACAAACCAGTGGCCAGTATTTTGAAGAGCGTCTACCATGGCCAATCGTGATGAGCTTCTAAACGGCTCCCGTTACTACGGGACGACAAAGTTACCGCCGGGTAAACCAGAAGAGTTATGGTTGTGACAGACGTGTATTGAATTACCGTGACATAGGAAATGTACCAGTACCCGTTAACGAAAATTTGCGTTAAAGCACGAAGGCAACAAGGACTGGCGAGAGCAATAACCTGCAAACGGATCGAAAAGGCGGAGAGGGAAACTTGTCGCGCTGAAGGATAAAATACATGGCAACCCTGTAATCCAAATGTCTCGTTGCATGGTTGCTGAGATAGAAATTCGAATGTACAGTTAGATTGTAGAGGAAGAGTGATATCTGACAAATGTCTGATATGGTCCGGATTTCGCCGTACAATCGATCACATTATAAGTTTAGTTAACTCACCTCCTTGTTGAGTAGAAGTAACAGAAACGGGTAAAATTTGCCACACTGTAATGTTAGCATCAGAATCTGGCAGCCTCCAAAGGCCTCAGTATGGTCCGGGGTGGGTGTCTAGGGTTGAGGCTGGTCACCCTTTCCTTGCACCTTACGAAATGCTCACATACAACCAAGCGTCCCAAATAACCTCTGATGAGAAAGCTCGACTCACTGCCTTTTAATGACGGGGGTTTTCCCACCAAAGTGAGAGAACAAAAGTCAATATCCGGGCCTACAACCGGGTTGGTGGATCACTGGTAGTTCACTTAGGGGAGTTGACCAAAAACCCTGATTCCAAACCAATCAAGAAGAGGCGTATGAAGCATACCTTCCCGGTTGTGGTAGTGGTCACCGGCTTGATTGAACATCGAGGTGTATTGGGCACCTTGGAAGTTTGACATTGTCCAAAGGGCGCATGATCCGGTGAACTGGACACCAGTCTCCAATTAATTGCGGTTTTTGCACACCGTCCAGCTACCTTGCGGGTCAGTCTTTGGCTAGCCAAAGGCTTCGGTTGTGGATTCCCCAAGAAACTTCACCGGCATTGGCCTGGGCAACCTGGCAGTATTCCGCCCACATGCAAATCTTGAAATGTATTTTTTTCATAAAGATTACTGTACCATGATTTGTTTGGCACAAGTATGGATTCAGACGTGTGTGAAAATATATATATATAGCGTTTTATAATAAGGGCACTTGCTAACAAAAAGCGTAACACTACTTTGTACACCCCATTGTTCGTTAATGCCTATCTTTTCAGTGAATCCGAGCACACCTTACTCTCGGCCGGTAATTGATCAGGTTACAGTTCGCCCATATGTATCCAGGGTACTCTTCTGGTGGCATACAGCTCTTTTCCCGATTCGATACTTAACAAATAACTGGAAGACTGCTTTGCCTCGTACGGTCCAGAGGTGTTTCTCAAAGGAGAATCAGTTTGCAATGATGAATAATTTGTGACACACGACAACCCTGAGAATCCGTATTTACTGTGACTATCAGCTCAACAGTTTGTATTGATTGTGTCTTGCTCTGTTAAATGTGTTGCATTTATTCCATCACTTCCCCATCCGTTATGTAACTATGCTTCCTCTTGCCATTTTGTTGCACAAAGTATTAAAAATTAAATAATGCAAAGCAAGAAATATGCCATTAATAGCTGTGGGGACCTTCGCTACTGTTTGCAAAGATAACGCAGGCATTATTAAAACTTATGATATTCAAGCCACAACGGGAAACGAAAGACTACCGCGATCGATAATTTCTTCCGGTTATAGTGGAGGGAGTCTTAAGCAAACCATCAGACTTCTGCCGAAGGTGAAAAACATCCCAATATACCATTATCACACAAAAGAAAATGTGAGATAATCACGATTTATATTATGTTTAGTGAAAAAATTGCGGCAGAACCGCAGAAAAAGCACATTTTAGTCCGACGACCGAATGCTGCTTGCACTTTAGTTATCACAAATACTTATTGGTTTGGGCTATTGAGGAAGGCGAGTGAAGGGGGTGGGAGAATACTGTGTCCTGTGTGGCGATAGTCATGAAAGATTGTGTCCTTACGAATTGTTTTTGAGAGCACAGAGTAGATTATGTATAATGATCCCGAAAGCATCACTGCGGCCTAAATACTGCTTATCCCTTTAGCTCGACGACTACTATCTGAGTGGAGAAGACGAAACACCTGGGCCACAGGAGCCATGTATTGTGGATCCACAGAGTACGAAGCGATGGGGTTGTTAATGTTGCCAGTCCCTCCATCGTTCAGTTAGGCCAGTTGGTGCTCGGGGATTCGTTTGAATAAACAGCTGATAATGCGGTCAGTGTACCTTGACCGAAAGGAACAGATAAATGAGTACAAAAAGATGATACAAACTATGATATATTATATCAGTAAATGGATCCCCGAAACAAACTTGTTAGCTTGCTTGCTTTTTCTACAATAGATGAAAAATGTCTCTTCATAAGCCGGTAATTTTGAGTAGCAAGCGTTACCCCATCTTTCTTCTCTGATTCCCAGCCCATCGAAGTACGATTCATTGAATACATGCCTTTCGCTGGAAATCAGTGGGAACAAAAGAAAATGATTCCATTCCTGGAAATGATGCAAGATGTTCGTGTTCACTACCCAAATTTGGAAGTCGTTCCAGCGCAATCTGATTCAACAGCAAAGGTAATGAATGGTGACGTTGGAATTGGAAAAATGCAAGCCAACTTGAAAATTTCACTTTTGTCACGATGGTTAACCTGGGAATCGTTTTTTAGTATTTTGGTGATTTTACCGTTGATCTACTGTCTTTATCGTTGATTTATTTTCGTTGGCCAGCACTGAACAATAAGCAGGCGGGAAAACTGATGATATCACTGAAGAACAAGATTCTGTAAATGTGTCTAAGATACAAAATAATCATTTTCCGAAACAATCTGTTCGATTCGTTCACGAAGTGAGACCATCTGGAACGTCATACCCAGTCGATTATTTTGATAGGTATCACTTCCCAGTTTTATTGTTTTTAGCTGTTTGATATCTTATTACTAAATTTCCTTTTCAGTAGTCCATGTCAATCAATTATTTTTCGATTTATCAAGAAAACAGAATTGTTAATTGCAGACAGAGATTGTAATTTCATACGAAAAATAAGTTAAATCACTGAATTACTCGGTCTGATAAAAAATTTCCGATAAAATAATAAGCCTCTCTCTATCTGTACATATCCACTCTCGGAAACACGCATCCAGGATCCGAGCTCAGTGATCCGATTAACGTCTCCTTCCAACCCAAAAGAAGAGTTTCAACTGTGAGTCTCCAGGGGCCCTATCGCTTCAGCGTCTGGTCAAGCAGGTGTTGGTATTGCCTTAAGCGCCAGGGCCGAGGCTGATCTATTGGATTGGATCCCGATAGATAGCCGATTATGCGCAGTGCGACTAAGAGGCTCAAGTAAGGTCAAAAAGCAGAAACCAAATGAACGATTCTTATTCGTGGTTTCTGCATACGCTCCCACAGACTGTAGCCCGGATACAGTCAAGGACGCCTTCTATCACAACCTACATGAGCTTCTTCTCAAAGCACCTAAGACAGATATCGTGATCCTGGCCGGAAACCTAAATGCACGCGCTGGTCGTCCGTCACCTGATGAGATCTACCTTGGCGGCCGCCATGGTCTTGATCGCTGTCGTTCCGATAGTGGGTATAGACTTTTTAGCATATGCTCAGAACACGGTCTGTTCCTCGTTAGCACGAACTTCAGACATTCTAAGGGTCACCTCGCCACCTGGCGTAACCCCTCTTCGGTACAGACGTGGAGTCAGATTGACCATATAGCTATTAGCTATAGATGGAGAGGGTGTGCGAAAGACTGCCGTTCGTATTGGTCTACCTGCTTGGACTCCGACCACGCACTGGTTTGTGCCAAGTTGACTATGCTA